ACCCACGCGCGCACGCACATCCAGACAGAAGACAGACAGACAGACAGGCAGACAGAAAGACTGACAGAACACACAGACAGGCAGGCAGATAGACAGACAGACAAGACAGACAGACAGAACAGACAGACAGACAGACAGACAGACAGACAGACAGACAGACAGACAGGCAGGCAGGCAGGCAGGAAGACAGACAGACAGACAGACACTCTCACACACACACACACACACACACAGACACACACACACACACACACACACACACACACACGCGCGCGCGCGCGCGCACACAGACACACACACACACACACGCACACACGCACACACACACACACACACACACACACACACACGCACACACACACACACACATATATATATATATACACACACGCACACACGCACACACGCACACACATGGGCATTCCTGCGCACGCTTGAGTCGGCATGCTACGCCACACCTTGGTGGGGAGATGGCGGGCAGAGTGGAAGCACTGAGCATGTCTCCGTCAAGGCACGCCAGTGGCGGTCGGAGCCGTACCGAGCGGCGTCACCAGTCCGTCTCCTGTGGCCGTGCACCTTACTGGCATCACTGATCAGCCATCTCGAACGAAGCACACAATGTCAGCGGGTAGCCGATCCAGCCATCCACCATTGCTTCAGTGAGCTCGATCGCGAGGCTCACGAGGACGGCAGCAAAACCTTCAGACAAAGTTCCCGTCCTCTGCGGTAAGAAGAGAAGCCCAAGCACGGATGGGCTGGCACACCCAAGTGCACCACTCATACCATGGTGTCGGCTTCCAGACATCCGCGAGCAGCAGCAGCAGCAGCAGGCGGCGTGACAGACAACTCGTCAGGCCACGCAGCGGAGCCGGCTGGTGCAGTCCAGCGGTTCTGGCACCGCTCAGGCGCACCTATGCTTGTATGGTGTAGGCCCGCAGCGTGGCTTGACAACCGCACGCAGGATGCGTAGGGAACGCAGTGGGATGGCGCCTCCATGTGCTGGCGTTCCGCACGAGGCACTTGGAGTACACTTTGTGGCTTGGGTGGACACTTGCGCGCTGGAGAGCAGTCGAGAATGCTGCCTGTCGTGGCGGAGTTGGTCTGGTGCGCGCTGCAAAGTGAAGATCTTGCCGAGTGGGGAGAGGTTTGCTGGGCTCGCCGAGCCGCAGACCCGCCAAGGAAGGCTGCCTTGCCCAAGGGGTGAGTCAGATGGCACTCCGTGTGACTGCCAGACGCAGGTGCCATGCGAGCGCGACGCCTGCACTCGAATTTGACGCAGGACGCACGGTGCGAAGCTCTTCCATTGGGTCTTCAAGCTGGAGACGTGGACAACGCAGCTGCTCTGCAAAGTGATCGCGCTCCCGGTGCCGTAGCCGATCTTCGTGGCACTCCAGTCGGAGCAGTACAGGGAAACAGCCAAGCCCCTCGCAGCTTGCCCTCAGAGTGATGGTTCGAGCTAGTGCACTTGAAGCTCATCTGCGAGGACACGCTGGCCGTGGAGTTCAGGCACGGGCGCGCGGCTGGCCTCCCAGGATTCCGCCAAGGTGCCCACGTAGAGGCCGTTGGTGGTGCTGTCGAGCACTACGTGACCATCGGCCGGGACGTGGACCGCTGAGAGAGTGTGGGTCGTGATCGTAGCAAGCAGCGTTGCCCAGAATGGGTATTTCTCGCGGTCCGGGCCCTCTAGACAGCAAGATGCGGAGATTGCGGCAAAGTGCAGGAATCTCCGTAAGACCTGTCAGAGGATGTCACAAGTACAGGTGTCGGCGGCGTGCATGTTGCTCATTTGGAAAACATCGTGGTCTGTACGCCGTGGGTGAAGATGGCGGCCGGGCAAATGTACAGCTTGGCGATCCAGGAAGATGAGGTACGCGACGTGCCAGGCAAGTTGCATGAGGTCAGCGATGACGGGAGCCCTGTTGATTCATGCTGGGCCGCATGGTCCCAGTCCATTTTGCGACAGTCACCCCAGCGAATGCTGCGCACTGCCTGGCAGTCGATGGTGCAGACGAGGATGGTGACGAAAATCGAGATCAGGATGCGGTTTGCATTGGCAGCCACAGTGCGTCTCCCATGTCACGGAGACGCGGCGCGGGCACCTGTGGACGATAGCACTCACGACAGAGCGCTCCTCGTCGGGGCCCTGATCCACAGCTGACAGCAGAGAGGCTAAAGAAGCTCTTGACGGAATGGCCGGGCGGCCGCTAGACGTTCTTGCCCTCGACGGCATCGGCCCTCGCTTGGGCCATCTTCGGCACCGCAGTTTCGTCCAGGTACTGGTAATCCAAGTCCTTATGGTTCTTGGTGGTCTTCATGCACGCTGTACCTTGCGCGCGCAAGTGGAGGAACTGGATAACCTGCGAGAGGAGACCAGATCGCAGATAGCTACTCACCTGCTGGCCAGCGATAGCGCTGCCCGCATGGACAAAAAGCCGTCGGAGCCAGCGCGGTCCTGCGCAACAGGGCCCTGAGAGCGAGGGAGCCGCGCACGATGTCGACT